CGATTATGCTGAAACGACTGCGTTCGAGAGCGACAAACTGGCACGGTCGCGGACAGCGCTGCGTGGCCCAACCCATCAATAAGTGGTGCGCATGCGTGTATTAGACGCAGTATGCTGGCTCACTTCGACCTGATCCGCTTGCTCTGTGTACCTTGGAGGCACAAGAAGCCACAGCGAAGGGTGTGTATCGACTCCCGCATGCTGTAGCGCGTGCGCAGTTCGCCGAGGGTTTGCACTTTAGTGCTTTTCATTATGCCTGCACTCATTGCAGTGATACCTTCGTAATCGCAAGCATGATAAATGATTGTAGGGATCCTAGCAATATTGAAAGAGACACACAAAGTACAAGAACAAATACACACATTTATTACGACATTTCATAGATGCAAACACACATACCTCGATATCCTTCAGTCTCCTCTCTGTCTTCAGTCTCTCAATCTCCTGGAGGTGTAAGAGGATAGAGATCAAGGACAAGGGTGTGCCCTGTACAAGACACACCGTATCACCCTGGCATGTGCTTGCCTCAACCAGGTTTGATTCCATCTACTAAGTCTCAATCCATATCAAAGCTCTGGGGGCATCGGAAATCACTGCTCCACATAAACCACTGTGGAACAGTTGTAGAACTGAAGCAGACTTTACTATACACTTCTTCAGCAGATATTATGCTACATGTCTGTATGTGTGCTGCAAGACTGAGATAATCTTCCCAAGCATAAGAATCAGAAAGACATACACAGCCAACCTTACAGAATGCTACCTACGTAAATCCTCTAATAATGCGGTGTCTCAGAGACTGTGCCTCACAAGTTGTCTGAAGGTCATAGGTACAGTTGTGAAGAGTATATATAGGCTAGGGCACGTAGAGCAATGGAGAGGAACATACATATTGACTGTAAATCTTTAAGAGTCTTGCGTGAAAGTCAAGGTTAACGCAGGAGAGCATCACTTAGCTGGTAGTGTGGGAGGAAAAGAGGACAAAGAGATGGTGAAAAAGGTATACAAGTCAATGCTGGCGTAAGAGATTAGAAAAAGTTCACAAGGCACTTCTCCTCGGCTAATGTATACCTGCCTTGATTCATTAGTCTTGGGTTTAACGTGGAGTTTGCGTATAGAAGGCGAAACAGGACTAATTTTTGACATTATTGGAGGTTGTCCGACAAAGATGCACTAACAAAATGGCGACCCACACAAAGAACTGGCAACATGGCAACTGCACGTTTAAAGGTTCTCTGTGGTTGTCTATGTCTTTGTATGTGGAGTGATTCAATGACTCTATAACGTCTTCTCCTTGAAACAGAGCTGGCTAATGTAAACCCACTGCTTGCTAGGTATAGTTAAAGTATTTGCATGTGCATGTGACTGGCTCTGTTTTATGTGCTTCAATACACCTGTTCCTTGCTATGCAGTGAGGATATAAATGACAAATGAGCAAAACAAAGTCAGTAGAAAGTGATACACTAATGAAATAGTTACACATAAGACAGAAGAATACACACTATGGCTGAAGTAACTGCTGTAGCTGGAGAAGTACTGTATGCTGAAATCCCCTGAAGACCATTCCGGCACTTTCTATCTACATTACAGCTTTCTGCAGCGTGAGTCCCAGAATATAATGTCCAAAATACCCAAACAAAAAGGTAATTTTTCACTATTGCAGTGGCAACATGCTGTAATGGGGCCAGAAAAAGTGTCATGGGCCTTAGAGTATGCTTTTACAGTCGTAGAAAGACAACCAGTAGTTTATACACTGAAGTTTAAGAAACCTCCATCTCAGTCATAACCATACGGAGCAGATACATGTATCATGGGGTTCACAGAGTGTTTGCACAACTCAGGCATGCCTGTACTCAATGCGACATCAAAACAGTCATGTAATGTTACCTCATCACAATCTCTCATCTTCTTCTCCAGTTTTCTCCTCTTCTCTTCATCTTTACACTTCTCCAACTCTGACTCTAGTTCCTTCTTTTCTTTCTCCTTCTCCTCCTTCTTCTCCTTCTTCCTCTACAGTCATGACAACGATCACTTACACTGGAGTACAATGGTTTGGCAAATGGTTTTGCCTTGATGGTGTTTGCCAGTATACACACTAACTTCACTAGTGCAACAGTAAAGGACAACAGGTGATGGAAGACAGATCACCATCTCATGTTTGTCTGGGAATGCTGCCTACTTCTCTACAAAAACATTGGTATTTTACACCAACCAAAGACCTAAAAGTCAAAACCCTCGGCGCAAATGAGGCAATGTACACAATGACTAATTGGCAGGGCCACGCCACACGTTCACTCAGTTTCAACAGAGTCTAGTAGCACCAGTGAGTAGTGTGTGGAGCAATACTAGACGGGATACTCATCTTACGAGTAACTTTGTGCCCTCCACGGTGTTTTAAAATCGGTCGAGGTAAGCCATTGCTAATGGCTCTTTTGCTTGTGTTTCATGCAAAACTCTCGAATGCAGTGGTTTCATGGGAAACAGTAATATTCACGTCTACGTAGCACTGACAGTGTTGGTATCACTTATTGGCTGCCTTGTAGCCTGTAGTAATGGTAAACAGACAAACCAAAGACAGACTCACAAAGAGTAAATCTCACTACGCATATGTGCTCAGAGACAATCCTAGGAGAGTGCCACAGATTAAAGTGGAGACATGTGATGTATACATAAACCAAACAATGTACAACAAAGTACCTATGATGAGCAAACATATGTACCTGGGATTCCAGTAGTCCCAGACGGAAGCCCTGTATGGAAAAGCAGTAGAGAATATTTTAACAGAACCCAGCATTAACTCTCACAGTCACCTAGAACTGGGACCCAGTAGTAATGGACTTATTAACAACATACATGATTGTGGACGAAGTGTGTACCTTGATACAAAGCATTTTGGCGAACAAGTGTGAGTAGTTCAATTTTCGCGCATTGTATGCAAAACTGAGCAATGATATTGATTATACAAACATCATAAGCAGGAAGACACCCACAACATTTCTCACTCCTCATCACACAAAATACACTCCTCCCTCCTTCCCTTCATCTCACTCCTAATTGAACCCATGAGTTCCTCATCTGCCCGGGGTCACTACCACCATGCAGATACCTCCGCACAGTGAAAGATTTACCTTGCTATTTTAACCCCCTTTCAACCCTCCCTCCGATCAATAATATCCCATAAAAAAAGTGCGTCCAAGAAACCTTTTAAAAAATGCTCCCTCTTTTGAATTTCATGCAAGAACTCAGTCTTATCCAACACTTCCCCCTTCGGATGTACTCTAACCTTCCTCTGTCTACCTCAACGACGCTGTAAGTCCCACTCCTGGCTAAAGAGTTTCTTTGGATACTTATCACCTGTCTGTCTGTTACCTTATACCACCACTAGCCTTATCTCTCTGACCTTGCGATGCATCTAGCTCCATATCTCCCAAAGCATCCAAGAATCCGCTTCGCCCAACCCAACATGACCGACTCCAACCAATGCAGCTGACTGTGGCTCGTGCCTTCCTATACTTCACACTCATACTCCAAGAGTCTAAAAGTGACCATTATAACGACAGCTTGGAAAGTAGAGCCCATTACTTCTCCTAACATGTCCTGCTAAAGTCCAGTACAGAGGTAAAAAAAAACACTGGTGACTGCATGCTAAGAGCTGCGGATTCACTACTGTAACAGTACAGTGATGTACTGTAAACTTTTGCTCTACTGCTATCATCAGGTCAGCTAGCAACAAACGCAAATTCTTAGAAAAACCCTCCTAAGATATGTCTCTGCGAATTTTACAAGCTCTACCAACAAACTCACTCAGGTATAAACAAAACTTTACCAGATCAGAAAATGGAGGACTCTGACGGCGACGAACAGGAGCTGGCTTTGGAGGTGGTGGCCTCCTAACTCTGCGAGCTAAGACCTCTTCGCCCTCTCTTCTAGAGAGAGGGATCTCGTGACGAGACCAACGGTTCGCTGACGGAGACGGTGGAGGAGAACTGGAGGGAGGGTCCGCCTTTTCAGCCATCTTTGATAAACAAAGGTAATGCGCATGCGTGAGAATGTGAGGATCGAAGGTCTCTGGTATAAAATTCACCGCTCAACCCAAATAGTAAGGCTGAAATCAATTATGAGTGGAGAGTGAGGAGACTGCTGCCTGTCTCAAGGATGCAGTTGTGGAGATCGTGGAGGTACATCAACCCTGCAGTCTCACCAGTCCACTTCAATAATCCGTCATCTCTCCTGGTTAGACCATTGATATAGTCTTACTCAGTGATGCCACACCATTTGGTCTTGCACATCAGTTAGCGGAAGTGTTGTTTGCAGGAGGAGCAGAGTAGAGGACTGAGAGTGAGGTCATTCCACTGCAGTGCTCCAGGTCCAGCCACTACAGGGGCTCAGGGACGACCCAGGAGTGATCGGGACGACCTCCCAATGTCTCTGGACCACTTCCGCAAACCTAGTCAACCTGCTGCTGGGACCACTGGCCATCAGGAGGATGGATGGTGTGATGAATACACTCTGCCTCACCCTGTGTGGAGTGAGGAGGAATTGAACTCTGTCCAGATCACTCACACTCCTCCAGAGAAACCTGTTGACACGGTACACAGTCACACAACTCTTACTAACTACTCCAAACACTGACCCTACTCCCCTGCAGGCTGCCTATTACTCTGTGCAGATGCTGAGGACGGGGTTTGATCTGTTGTCTGGGTATTCGTGGGGCAAGAGGTTTGGTACACTGGATGAGAAGAAGTGGCTCTCAAGAATCATCTATCTTGAGACAGTAGAGAACCAGGTGAGAAATATCCAGCTATGTGCCAAGGAAAGTCAAACCTTGAATAAAATTAATGTCAAGGGTTTTCACAAGAATAATTAGTTACTCATCCGTGTGACCCAATACACTCTACATGTCTCCAGGTGCGATGCTGCGTCACTTGAAGTCTCTGCGGTGCATGACTCGGGACCATGGCTGGATACACACCTTGCTGGAGGAGAGGCAGAGAATGAGAGGATGCACCTCCTCACAGCTATGGAGCTGAGGAGACCTGGACCTCTCTTCAAGATTGCCGTCATTGGAACACAGGGTGAGCCACTGAAAGAAAGCGCTTATGAGATTCCATGAAGTGTGTACCTTACCAGGGCCTTTTTACTAACCCTTACTAACCTTTTGCACATTTTACTCTAGCTTGTCATTCTCAAAACCTACTTGTCCTTCTCTCCCTCCCCAGGTGTGTTTGTGAGTATGTTCTGGATAGCGTATTTCCTCAGTCCCAGATTTTGCCACAAGTTTGTTGGCTACTTGGAGGAAGAGGCAGTCAAGACCTACACTCACTGCATTGAGGTACATACTCCATTCTACATGACACTTGATTGATAGCCAGCTCTGTTAGTGAGCAAGCAGCCCACTAGAGTGTACTGTGCACACTGCAGAGTCTGGACAAGGGGGAGCTGAAGCTGTGGGAGAATACAAAAGCTCCTCAGATTGCTGTCTGCTACTGGAGACTGCCTGTAAGCCTTTGTACACATGACTCCACATGACTTGACATGACCTGGAAGTGGAGGTCGGAGTCCACTTCCTGTTCCTGTCAATCAGAAATAGACCACAACTATTGCATTATGGATCAAATGTCACAACAGTGTTGCTGTCTCTATAATGTAGGCTGATGCAATGATGAGGGATGTGCTCCTGGCCATTAGAGCTGATGAGGGTCACCACAGAGAGGTGAACCATACCCTGGGCTCAATGAGACCCTCTGAAACTAATCCATTTGGCCCTGGACAATGACATCACACCGCCAGTATACATAAACAGTACAATGGTTCGCCTCAACTGCATAACAATTTCTAACTACCCACATTAGCCAGATACATCGGTAGGATTCACAGACCGATTTTCATTGCTATTTGAATAATTTTTCACTGATGTTATTCATATTTCATTAACCTGCATAATTGAGGGTGGTAGACAATATTGGTTTCACACACAATGTTCTAGACATACATACAGGTGAGATGTACACATACATAGTACACAGTATCAAGGCTATGTACTCCATGTACCATACCTACACACACAGACAGACACACACACACACATCATTTGCAATACACGGAGGGTGATTCATGTACAGTATATACTGTAGTAGATAAGGTACAGAACAATTCTCAAATAATGCACACTATGACGTTGTGTAGCTCCAGGAGCCACCGCATGTCACGGTTTATAGTGATCCCTGGGCACTGGGTATCGCAGTTTTTTGTGGTCAGTTCCCCTAATGTTGAGCCTCTGCTGAGTGTAGAAGAAGATGCACTCGGGCACAGTCTGAAAGTGGCTGCTGAACTGGCCCAACACGTAGCCACTCCTCTCGTAGACTATTCTCAGGTGAATGAATCCACTGGAGCGATCTCTGTGGAGGAGGGAGTGAGAGAAGGGAGAGGTATGATAAGAGCAAGGGTTGAAATGTGTACCTCTTTACTGATAAACTCTGTGTCTAAGAGCTCTAAGACATAATTATTATATCCCTCAGTTTTCCAATAGCGCTATCCAATAGCCTTCAACTTCTGGTCGAGATGCAAGTTATGGAGAATTAGGGGGTAGGGTTGACAGACCTTGCACTGTTGCAAAATGTGTTATGTAACGAAATCATGAGCAGTGTGCCTCATCTCAATGCACAAGCCACAATGTTTGGATCAGAACTAGCTACTTATGTGTGTTGGATTTCTACAATGGCTGGAGCCTTTCTGGCCGACAAAACAAACTCCTATAGTGTTGAATTGCTATTCTGTCACCTTGTGTATGATGTCGGTCTACCTACCACTAGTTCTGCAAACCCCTAGGAGACATGTACAACATGGGTTACAGCATTTGGTGTGTCTGTATGTCTGTCCTTCAGTCCATCTGTCTGTCAGTTACCATGTTTTCTGCCGCCACGTGCATGACACCAGGGCAAAAAACAACACCACCAACAGTTAAGTGCTGCACTAGGTTGATTTTAAGTTTACAATTTTCGTTAAAAGTGACGTGTGAAAGTTATGGCGCGAAAGCAAGCAAGATGCAAATAATTAGCACTGGCTGCTGCTCTACCCTTTAACTCTTAGTATATCCTCCATCATTTAAGATGCTCAGGACTCAGCATGTGGTATGTGTCCTCTCACTACTACACACTTCATTTCACCTCCCTCGAAAAACTAATTGCAGGCAAACTCAGTTCGTCCATATAAGGCACGGGAATGCAAGTAGATACCTTTGTTCTGGCGAGAGAGAGAGAGACGGTATGCATGCTGCAACGTCAGCAAACAGTTGGCAAGTGAGTGAACTATGGCATGAGCTTATCCCCATATCAGGCTAGACTTAACAATAGCAGTGCTGTCAATCTACTTCAATCCTTGACCATAAGAACAAACAGTTTGGAAGGTGTGCCCTGGAGTCGTGGCACATACAGAGACATCCCTGCTCCAACAGGGAAGGGGAGACCCTTCCACCTGTATATTGCTGTTTGGACTGAATTATTTCTTTCTTCCTCTATCCTTTCGTACCCCCCTTTTTCTTTATTATTTTTATTTATATTTTACGAATTATTTGTAAAGCTACCTGCCTTGCTACTGCTTTTCTCTCTTAGTTACATTGGATTTTAATTTTCATTCCTCTGTCCCTCATGCCTTAAAAAATCAACAATTGCCTACTTTTTATACTTTTGCCACTGATGAGGACTGCAGAGCAGTTGAAATGTTTGGCCAAAACAGTTTTTCCGACTAGTGTTAGTAGATATAATTCATAGAGTATGCAGTATCCTAGCCAACCAAGTATACTTACAATTAATGACAGACTTGCCTTCTTTTTTAATGGGATTTGCTAGACAAGCGTTTTATAGTGGCAGAAGATTTGTATGAGAGCACACGCCAGCTCAGCATGATGATCTTTGCACACAGTGGCCAGTGCTTCTATGACTGTCAGATTGTCTGACAGTAACAGCTGGAGAGGAAAGATAGAGAAATTGGGGGAAATGTATGCGTGCAGATCGATAGTTACAATACAATAGCCATGCTCGAAACCAGGTCTTACCCTCCTTCGTGTGTGCATGCTCAAACGTTACAACAAACACGTTGGAGAGATGGACCATTTTTTTCACACGATACGTGTTGTGACCTACATATATGCAGCATGGCATGGACCTATGTACTACTGGTATGTGTATCCATTAATGATGGAGTGGGTGCTATGCTACACACAGCACAGTAATGGAGATGCTTCATGCATCACATTGTGTGACACTGGATTACAGACACAGGAGACATTTCATGGTAAAAATCTGGGTCTTCTCCATTTGCAAGCATAATTATAATGTGCACACACACGGAGGATGAGCGAGAAGGCCAGGTTATTAGCTAGTGAGGCCTCACCTCCTTGAGACTAGTGTACTCCTCAATGGGGAAGATCATCTCATGCTGCAGGGAACAAAACACACAAATTACACCAGATTACATTTGCATACAATCTGCATTGTACATATACATACATACAGACTGCAGAGTGTCGCGGGTTTGAACCCCACCCAGGGCAGCTCTTCTACTTTTCTTTGGAAAGAAAGAGCTGTCCTGGGTGTAGTTGACTTGTTTGCCTTGCCTTGCCTTTCTACCTCGCTACCAAGTTGTTGAGACATACGTACATAGCAAAACATGTGTATGAGTATGAAGTCAACTGTAGTGGACTCGCTTGCTTTGCTTTTTGCCTTTCACCTCGTTTTGTGAAACATAATCAATGTACTGTATAATACCTTGAAGTTGGCCACCAGTCTGAGGGAGCCTTGCGCAGTTCTTGAGCCCTTTGTCATGAGATGGTGCCACTTGTCGTCATCCTGCCCATTGGGCATGTCCGACAGTTGAATTGTCACACGACCTATATAACATACACATAGTGTGCAATGTACAACATGCAGTGGGTCTCTAGAAGTGAATAGGTCTAGCTGGCCTGTATAGGCAGACACGTGGTAATAACTAAAATGATGTGTACACTGTATATACCAATGCTGGAGTCTTTGATGTATGCTCTCTTTGAGGCACTCAGTAATTCCACTGCGAAGGAGGTGGTGGAGAGGGGGAGATCCCTGCATAACACACCAATCAGAGTCACGTGAGTCATAAGTGAGAGTCAGCATAAACAAATAGATAGAGTATTGAACTGCCCATCCCAAGTATTGGGTGTGGTCTGATGGATAAGGACTCACACCCATAATCTTGAGGTCAGCGGTTCGATCCCGGTCTGTGGGGATCTTTTTATAATGATGTAATATGAGTGTTGATATAAGAGGAACGTTTTTTCATCAGCTCTCGTGGCCAGCCCAAGTGGCTAAGTGGTTAGAGACATGGGGACTGTCACATAAGGTGCCCGGTTCGAATCCCGGACCCGCACTGAAACTGACAGGTGGTCCAGAGCATTGGCTGGGAACAGCTCTGGTTCCTCCCCTTACCCATGAATCTACCACTGACCCACACACATCTCAAAGGACAGCGTACAGTTTGGCATTGCACTGCGTCCATAGACGTCTGTCTGGAGAGATATGCGGGTGGCATTTTTATTTTTTTCAACTTCTAAACTAATAGTTTTTGCCTAAAACAATCTCTGGAAAAGTTGAAATGGTGTGCATTGAGAGAGAGCTCACTGGAAGAGGTAGCTCTCGTCAAAGATGCAGGGGACTTGCATGAGGATGGTCTTGGCGAGGGCGGCTCCGTCCAGGAACACCAGGCAGTAGACACTGGAGTGGCCACTGGACTTGGCCAGCTTGCTGTCTCGAATGGACAGAGACAGAGAGCGGATCTGCTGCACCTCTGTCTTGGCCGTGTCTGGGGTCTTGAGAGTGTGTCTCTTCATAACACGTAGCCACTCCTACATAACACAACACGTGTGTTCAGACACCCTTTCCCCTATTTTAATGCACATGTGTGTGTGTTGTTAGTAAATTATGTCAACCAGAACAACGCCGTGGGTTACATATTTATAATTATGACAAACTGTAAGCATTACCACCAGACTGTATACCAACAGACACCAGCTGGGAAAATATACAAGCCCCTAAGCATGGGGACAGATAGCTTTCTTCTTTGCCCGATAACCTCTGCACATCTCACTAGTGATCTCAGAATGGTGAAAAGTGTGCAAGACAATCAGCTCTACCAGTGAGATTGGGTACATTACTACAATGCCATGTCCTGCGCATATAAAACTGGGGAAAGTAACATTATGTCTTACGGTCCTCACAATGTGATATACAGGTACATCGAATTATACCTGTGCTAGTTCCTCAGTCTGAGCAGCAAAGTAGTAGAACGACAGCTCATTGAGATATTTCAACATCACCATAAATACACCATTCCTAATGAGAACGTGACATTGTTATGATGGACATGCTGCGTAAAAACAGTGGTACTTGTCATTTTTCTGTAGCATGCAGCAGTATACTTCGCACATGTATCATGGTTTGCTATAACCCTCACAGCACATGTGAGCTGAGGGTTAATGAAATGACTTTGTATAATGTGAGTCTGTAGCATTCGGCAGTATGCGTGCCAAGCATACCTCAATTTGTGCAAATTAGTGTCCCATACTTACCCCAAATGCATGTACAGCGCCTGTCATACACAAATGAAAAGCACTGAAGTGCAAACCCTCGGCGCATTGTGACGCGCACGCGTGAGTAAACGCATGCGCCGTACCACTAATTGATGGGCTGGGTTTAGTTTTAGCTGTTACTCGGGTCTCTTGCCAGCTCGCGCAGAGTCTGACGCGGGCTAACTACACTACTAACTAGCATGCGAGAGGCGATACACGCCCTGCGTTGCATCTTCTGGTGCCTCTGAGGTACGCAGAGCACGCGGATCGATCAGACCGTGGTAAGCCATCCCGTCCGTTGATAAAAATGGCCGACTAGCATTAGCCGTACAATGGCGGAAGCGCTCTAGCTTTGCAACGAAGCATTTTCAGAGAAAACCGTTCGAAATTTCTGACCTTCGTTGCCCGTTGGGTAGATGGTATCGTTTCTGGGACGAACAGACGTTCGAGGAGTGAGATAGAGAGTAATAGACAAACAAACAGACAGACAGACCCAATGAAAAGCACTAAAGTGCAAACCCTCGGCGAAGTAGCTCGCAGAGAGTCTGACACGGGCCAGCTACAGTAGTAGATAGCACGCGAGAGTCGATACACGCCATTCGTTGTGACTTCTTGTGCCTTCATTGCCCGTTAAGTATAAGGATCGTATGCGCTTTGTGACTACCGAACATACATTCGAGAACGTGAGTTTGAGAGTAACAGACAGACAACACACAGACCACACCCAACTACAGTAACCCGCTCGCGCGCATGCGCGCCGACGTACAACTACTGTACCCTCGCTGCGCATGCGCACCGAGGGTAGTAAACTATTATGCATAGAAGATTCCCACATTCAGATGACTAGTTTAATACAGGAAGTTTAGACATAGCAGGACTTGATACTCACCCTCCTTACCCCCAGCCCTTAACCACATCCTGAGCATCCTATGTACTTAGTACTAGTGCAAATGTTGAACACTGTCGAGCGGGAGCGACCCAACTTGGGATTTGCCAGCGATATTCTGGCTGCATAACGTGCCGTCAGTGCACAGCTTGCTTTCCTTGAAGCAAGAAATATGTAACATGCATACCTGCCATAGAGGGTGGGATCCACGGCAAAGGCTCGACACTGTCTCAAATCCAAAAGTCCCTTGGCTTTATGACTCTGCAGGCACAAGTCGATTAGATTGTTGTGCTAATCATGACCAACAGAAATTTTTTACGTCAGATGATTTACATCAGATGTTTCTTCACAGACGAAAATTAAAGGCAATTCCCACATTTAAAAAACAAAGCGTAATAGTATCAAACTGGACACAGTTTTATATTATCATGCTAAGGGAGAACTCACGTCCTCTCGCTCGTAGTAGAGCAGTTTCTGTTCTCCGTATTTTATGACGAAATAAAACTCTTTCCATTTGCCATAGACTGGACTCTTCTTCCCTGTGACCAGTATGTCATTGCAAGTGTCAATGTACCATGTAACAATAGACCATGTGATGCCATGCATGACTAAAAGTCGCACATAGTATCATACTAGGTTCACAATATGTCGCAAAGGCTAGCCATTCCCTGGGGCAAAACAACGTATTGTGAGCCCAGGTCACACCAGCTAGTTTACGCCTGGCATTCATGGAAGTGCATGCGCCAGCGATGTGGACAGAATATAATGTCCGTGTGTTCACGTGAAGACAAAAACCTGGATCAGGTCGCGGTAAGCCCAGTGCGATTATGCATATTGGCTTTTTCGCTTGTTTTCGCCCAGGTGTGCCGAGGGTTGATGACTGACCCTAGTAACACAGACCTTTCCTGAGGAGGAGTAGTCCGGTCTTTTCTCCCTGTCTGTGTGCCTGTGTCAGGATGATACTGTTGGTCCTGTCTCGTGGAGAGGTGACTGTCATTGCCTGCCGACCCACTGGCCTCACAGTCTACAATGTACAATGACAGGGAGACACATGGAGGTAGAAAATCATAATTATAGAGGTGAGGTGTATGCAAGTGGAACACAAACTAATCAACAACACCAGGACAACAAGGAAAAGAGCTCCCCCTGTGTGGGACATGAACCGACGACACTCTGCAGTCTAGGAAGAGCCCTCTACCGCCTGAGCTACAACCAGGGCAGCCACACTGCTCAAAGTGTTCTATACAACTGACACTGACAACAACGTCACTCTCACTACCTGGATGATTGGTGCTCCTAGTGTGATTCCATCAATGATGACCTCACTCCTGTATCTGTCAACGACATCATCCATACTGTGAAAAAGGAAGAAAAGTCAGCCATTATACCTGAATGTACTGCATACATGAGGTCTTGAGAGAGACGGCTGCTCACCTACTAAATGGTCTCCCTCCAAATATGTAGTATCCTGTGTCGTACCTGGTGATGCGGAATCTCTGCACCTTATCTCGAGTTCTGGAGGTATTTCACACAAGTCATAACTCTTAGTATCAGACTCAACACACTCAATAAATACCCAGGACATGTATACAGTTACAATATCAAATGCCAGCTGTACTTCTGTGCCCATGTGTGGAGTAAAACATAGGCAAGGGACGGAAAACCTCTGATAACTACGAATGCACGTGTGGTTATGTTGTAAACCTTAGCTGTGTGCGTGTGTGTGTTGAGATGGCCGCAAAATACGAACTAGTAAACCTCACCCAAAATGAGGCGTTACCAAACATACTCCTCCCCATCCTTTTTTCACGCATAGTAAAATCGTAATACATATGACAAGATGGGTGATTGGCAGCAATGGCTTACTTGACAGAGAGGGAGTAGTGTCTCTCTGATTTCTCCACACTGGACAGTCTCACCAGAAAACTGCCTACTGGCCCTCTGGTGTGACATAGAGTGAAACACATGACATGATAGTCATCTCCATTCACAACCATACCCACACACCACACACACAGGTTCCGACAAAGGACAATGAAACATTTACACTGGTTTAAAGGAATTGACTATTAAAACACAGGAGGTGTACAAACATTGACATTATGCAACAAAAACAAGAGGAGGGCAGACTTCAAAGGACACAATTCCACGTAGAGAAAGTTGTTAGAGAAGTAGACTCGCTATAACTAGAACCAAAAACTATGCATTATTGGCGATCGAGCACTTGCAGGATAGTATATGCTCATAAAACTCCCCAGTACGTAGCTTCATACATGTCGGTTGCTTAGGGATATCCAACAAATATGTATACATACATACATACATACATCTCCTCAAAAACCATATCATTTTCCTTGTTTATTTTCCTGCAATTCTTACATCCCCCTCCTCACATGCAACTACATGTACAATATGTACACTAACCGCTTTCTCTTTCACAATACCACATCCCACCTCAAACTAAGTCACAGTCCACACCTGTACACACACTCCCCATCTCACCACATCCTCCATGATCATGAGAGGAATGAGTCCGCTCTCCCCCGACCGCTGGGAGTGACCCCAGCCCCAGTCATCATTCAGCCGACTCAGCAGGACAAACACCTCCCACATATCAATACTGCAGGAAACACACGTGTACACTAGTTTGGACATACACGTAATACGTAATGCACATCTACATACCTGGAAATATAAGAAACAGGGTGTCAGTTAAGGATGCTAAATTGTGACCATGCACGCTAGGTGGCATACTATGGTTGACACATGCTGTGGGTCTGCCTAGGAGTGTTTCAAAGGTTTGGGGCCAAAGCAGAACACTCACATTACCTGCTTATACTCTCATTGAAAATCTATAGGAATCTGCTCCTTTGAACATATTCATGCTTACATGGCATGGAACAGATAGAAACTTTGTTGATGCATTATACAGAGAGCCCAGTGAGTATTATACATCTCTATAAGTGCCAATTACATATCTGTTTACACATACAATACACATTGATTCCAGTGACTTATTCTCTCTCAATTACAGTAAAACGAACAACCTCTGCTTGAAGATCACAATGGGACTCCAGAGGCTGTGTACTACAAATGCTCGGTGAGGACCCATTATACTGTACTATTCATGTGAACAATGTGTACACACACAAGATGGTGAGAGCATACACAGTAGTACAAGTGTTAGTTGGACATTACGTGAGTTCATCAGTGCTGGGGTTCTTAACGTGTGGAGCTGTGGCCCTCAACATAATGTACAGAGGAACTGGCTGCAGGTGGGAAATGGGGAGAGATAGAAAAACTTTGCCCACATCACTGTTGCTACAAGACCAAAATTGCACCCACATGTGCAAATTTGCATGCAGTTCTTCTACAGAACCAAAGGCAATTCTATGTCTGGAAAATGCCGACCAGCAGATTTTGTGATCAAAACTTAGTCTTATGAAGAAACAACAGTTTGTTTCATGCATTCACATGCACACCAAGAGTTAACCAAGCGAAGGTAATAAGGACTGTGTGATGGGCTTACGTACACATGAGGTACATTATACACACACACACCTTGGGAGGAACAACAGGTAACTCCAGACTCTCATTCTCCAAGATGCAGGAGCAGTTGGAATAGAACCCAATGAGCTCCGAGAGAGACATGAACTGCCGACCTCCGATGAATGAAGTAGTCGCCACAGTTGGAGTTGATCTTGAAGTGGTGGACGTAGCCGGTACGGCTGAGGTACGTGATGGCGTAGTCCCCCGGCTGAGTCTCACTCTCTCTCACCAGGTACACCCCCTGCTCCCCCTGCTCCCCCTGCAGGTCATGGAGTCTAGAGGATGCCGTCTGCCGACTAATGCGACCATGAAACCACCTGTAGTTCAGATTGGGAGCCTTTCACCACACAATCCACGTTCACTATACAAGTGGAACTTGCATGGATTTGTGAATGATGAGGGAAAGCCCCTCCATCCATATTCACTTCATAGGACGCTTCACTAGAATCTAACGCAGACATGGGTCAGTGCTTCCACACCTGACTAACGGTAGTAGCGGACAACGTGGGATATTCACCGCATGCGGACACGGCTACATTGACATAATTACGGGAAGACCCTAGAGGCAACTCACGACTCTGGCGGTGGAGCGGAGAGGTCGAGGCCAAGCTCTTCGTCCCCGGCCTCTTCTTCCTCATACGTTTGGTTGGCGTACTGGACGTAGGAGCGGAAGGCCGGGTCGTCCAGCCGAAGGTACACCGGCCCGACTAGAGCCTCGTCCATCTCGTCCCCATACTGGTCGATGATGGCTTCCCTCGAGGGAGGGAGACCAACCGGGGGACGCTCTCCCGGGGTCGCGTAGGTCGCCATTTCTTCCAGCAGCAGCTCGGAGAATGCTCGCGCACAATAAGAAAAATGTTTGTGAATACGGTAATAAAGTGCGCATGCGTAAACAATTCTGGTAGGAAACACTAGCAAAAGTCTCTGTCCAGTTGTTCTGCTAAGGATTGTTTCATCAACAGATGCCGATTTCAAGGCAGTGATCAATGTCTTCCAGGTATAGGGCCGACTAGCTGATTGCTTCCATTGCTCGAGAACAGCCATGAATCGATCAAAGCACTCGTCCTCATCCTTCTCTATTGCCTTCCTTTCTCCTCTGCTGAGCTCTAGCTGGATAGCCACCGGCTTCCATTTTTGGGGAATGATGGCTGCAACACAATTTGCCAGATCACTGAGCTTTGGAGCTTTGGACTTGGAAGGAGATGTGACTGAGGAAAAAGGAAAAACAAACAATGTCAAGTCACTATAAACAAACGAGTGTTCAATGCTTACCGGCTCCAGTAAACCACAAGGTTTGTTTAGGAGAAACACTGTCAAACACATTAGAATTTTCGGAGCATATCCATTTCTTGCCATTCTCGGATATACATGCGGTGTGCAGTTCAGTGCTACAAGATTCATTCTGGACAGGGCACAGGAAGGCAGGCACTGGGCGAGAGTTTGTGTGGTGAGTGTTCTCCAGACCTGCCTCGACTGCAGCAAACAGCTCCGACCTCACAGCCTGGCAGTGCTCCACCAACTCCTCGCGATCCATCTTCCTGGTGTCCACATTCACACAGGCAACGAAGAAGGAAAAGTTGTCTATGAACGTCACGGTGCCCGGTCTTTTGCGCTTTGAGAACGTGATGGAGTTGCGAGAGATCTGGCAGAGTTGCCTGTCGGGTGTGTCTTTGTTGTGAGGAGTGGTGAGTGGCTTGTGGACAACCTCCCAGTGGGCATGGGACTGAAGGTGGCACACACTGCAGCAGTAGACCCCGGGAGGAGCCCAGCCAGTGGGGAACTCCACCACCAGAGCTGCTATCTCTGTGGCTGTGCAGCTGGCCAGGAATTGATTGACTCGAGATTCTGGGGTCATGCTCAGGACTGCGGGGAAGAAGTACTCGGTAGCTGACAAGGGACAAATGACAAGGAGCTTTTCAAGCAACAGTAGAAAGTCACTTGGAGTAAAGATTCCTTTGACATAGTGAGACTTGAATTCTTCGAGAAACTTGAGAGTGAGGACACCTTTATCTCTGAAACTCTGCCAGTCACCTGTCATTGCAAGATCGGCAGCTTTTGTCGGATCAGCTTCTGCAGCTTTCAGATGGTACTGCTTCTCCACAAGCTTTGACAGCTTGTCTAGAGGAACTTGAGGATTGGTGAAGACGACTCCGGCAGAATGTTCTTTTTGAACAGGAAAATGTTGAGCTTGTCAAAGAAGGCCAGAGCAGCATCAAGCTGTCCTTCAGAGAACCCCAGTGACTTGGAGACATGGAGGCACTCGTCTTTGCTCAGAACATCTCTGCCAAGCTTGTGTGTTCGCGCTTCCAGGATCAGCTGGAGGATGAACCACCAGATTGGAATCTTGTGTTGTGTGGCACCTTTCTCGATGCTGGCTCTGATCTTGCTGGCCTCTTTCTTGTCGTCTTCTTTTGGCGTTTTTGTGTTGACTGGGAAAATTATCTCCTTTAATCCCTCATTGCGATAAACGACGTCTTTCTTGAAGTGAGGAGAAGCAATTGCAGCTAAAATCTTGTTCTTTTCTTCCACTGTTTCTGTGCATTCGTCTTTTAAATCTCTGTGTGTCCCAACAGCAATGATCTTAGAGCGTTTCCCTCCTTCATGGAGCCCTCGAAGCATTGTCTTGAACGCCTGTGTGGTGGTGAGTGTGGCTCTCTGGCTGGGACCAACCTGTTTCCCTCTCTGGTAGAGGTCATTCAGAGGGTGTTCGTCAAGCTTCTCGCAGAGCCTGTGGACAAAGAGGGTGGCTGAGGTGTCACGTGTGAATATCGGGAAGAGGTCCCAGAATGGTTGCTGGCCACCAGTGTCAGTTAGGTAGATCAACTCCATGTCCAGGAGACGACGTGATGATTTCCCACTACCCACCAGCCGGGTAAGCTTCCTGATCACTCCATCAATGACTGCCTTGCCCTCCTTTTCACCAGTCGAAGCTACACTCCCAACACTTGGTTTCTTCTCATTCTCCTTCTCGCCGTTACCCTTCCCGCCCTCAACCTTCACCTCATTTCCACGCTTTTCCCCCCTCTCCCCATCTCCCTCTCCCTCCTCCTCTCCCTCTCCCTCTCCCTCCCCAACTACCAAGTCCGATATAATTTTCTCCAACTCCTCCATTCCCTTTCCCTTGGCTCTGAGGTCTTCATACAGAATGGGAACTGCTTCTGCGATCATCTCTTGAAACTCTTTTGTGGAGATCTCGTTCCACTCTCCTCCTTCCTTGCCGACTCGTATAACTCGAATTGCTCGCTCGGCACAGCCGGTGCTGTGTCTTTCTTTTGGAGGAGACTTACTGAGGAGGAGGTACATGACGCAGGTTTTGCCGACACCTGCAGGTCCCTCCACAATCACTTTCACTAGTGTCACGTTCACATAGCCCTGCTTCATTGCTTCTCTCAGGAATGTTCTCGACTCTTCATCTACAGAATGTAAAGTATAATATTTAAAGGGAATGTGTCAGTACATAAGGGCTATATTTAGAAATGTAACTTGTAGCGTATTGCGCATGCTCTATTATCTTTTATCCTGTATCACTTCCGTTCACCCCTGTATAATAAGCTGTAACCAATAGTGGGATTCAGATTTGGTTGCCTGTTTCACTCTGCCAATATCTGCGTGTGGCACTACGTTAGTGCACTGGACACTACACTGGTGACGAGGACGGGATCTTGAACGGACTGTATCACAGAGACGCAAAACAGAGGTAACCTCCCCTCCACCCCCGTCGCGTGTGTTGGGAACTATTGGAGAGTTTGATTCCATGGTAGAGAACATTCTACTTACCTGGAGCGTCTGCAGCTCTATTTCGATGCGAACGAAGTGAAAGACAACCGCAAGGTTCCCGTTTTGCTGACTGTTACTCAGAGTTGCTGCGGTGGACAGACGGATGGACGGACACACGCGCACACACACAGACAGCAATAACCCTCGCTGCGCATGCGTGCAGGTGAGGGTTAATAAGTGGCTTGACCTTGATGATGAGATTGGTAGTGAGGTCCTGCCCTTGTTTACATTGCATGGGGACGTTCCACAACCCCCTATTGTGGTGGAGCTGAGAGTAGAAGACACACCTGTGAACTTTGAATTGGACACTGGGGCAGCAGTGACCAAGTCCAGTTTCCACCAGTTGTTTCCTGAAGCACAGCTGCAAAGGTCAACACTTGGTCTCAAGACCTTTACGGGAGAGCTGTTGCAAATTGTGGGTGAGGCTAGCGTGAAAGTCTCGTACCAAGACCAGGAGTCAAGAGTTTTACCTCTGGTAGTCGTAGAGGGTACTGGTCCTCCTCCCCTCGGAAGGAACTGGCTTCAGCATTTCTAGTTAGACTGGGGCAACATCAAAGCCGTTCAACTGGAACGCGACGCTCTTCACAAAATACTGCAAGATTTTGACCGCCTTTTCACCGATGAGCTAGGCACGGTATCCCCAAGGCCAAGCTAGTCGTTTCCATCGTCCGAGACCTGTTCCATACGCACTGCGACCTTTGGTGGAACAAAAACTAGATCGTTTGGAGAAGGCTGGAGTTCTGGAGCGAGTTGACCACAGTGACTGGGCTGTACCTATTGTGACGGTCCTGAAGAAGAATGGACAGGTTAGAATTTGTGGAGATTACAAAGTAACGGTAAACCCTGTCCTTGTTGTTGACACATATCCGCTGCCGCGTCCAGAAGATTTAGTTGCAACTCTGGCAGGTGGAAAATATTTCTCCATGTTAGACCTCTCGCACGCATATAACCAGGTGGTTTTGAATGACGATGCTCGACATTTCTTAACTATCAACACTCATCGTGGGTTATACCGCTATACCCGACTCCCTTTTGGAGTTGCATCTGCTCCTTCTGTATTCCAGAAAGCCACGGACCAGATCCTCCAGGGGATAGATGACATTCTGTGCTATCTAGACGACATTTTGGTATCTGGCAAGACTGAAAAGGAGCATCTGGAAAATCTACAGAAGGTTTTTCAGAGGCTACAAGAGCATGGTCTTCACGTCAAGAAATCAAAGTGCTCATTCATGAAGACCAGTGTATACGCTACTTGGACCACTGCATCAATGCAGATGGTTTTCATGCGACTGACGACAAGATCGAAGCGATTGTCAACGCACCGATTCTGTGAAATGTCACCGAGCTACGGTCATTTTTCGGATTGTTAAATTGCTACGGACGATTCGTTCCAAATTTATCGTTGAACAAGCTTCTTCGACACGGGGTGAGGTGGCATTGGTCCAAGGCCTGTTCCGAGACTTTTCGAAAGGCCAAGGAGAAGATTGTATCTCCCAACGTCTTGGTCACTACGACCCTGGTCGTCCACTCACTCTAGCAGCCGACGCATCTGCTTATAATGGCATTGGTGCTGTCATATCTCATACAATGGAGAATGGCACTGAACATCCGACCACCTTCGCGTCAAGAACCCTGCTACCAAGCGAAAAGAACTATTCTCAAACTGAGAAAGAAGCGTTGTTGATCATTTTTAGAGTTTCCAAGTTCCATGTTTATCTCTACGGATGCCAATTTACACTAATTACGGATCATAAGCCGCTTACATCCATCTTTGGGTCAAAGAAAGGCGTTCCGACTATCGCAGCAGCACGTCTACAGCATTGGGCCCTAAAGCTCTCAGCATATTCGTACAACATCCAGTTTCACCGTACCGACGAACATTCAAATGCCGACGGTTTATCTCGCCTTCCTCTCAACCACATCTCTCGTGTTGGTTATACTCCTGAACCTGCGGTTTTTAACCTGCAGCAACTTCACAGCCTCCCTGTGACTGCTACCAAGTTAGCAATGGCAACTCGAACAGACAACCTCCTCAGTAGAGTCTACCGGTTCATCATCATCAGTGAGGCATTCGCCAAGTTTTCTGTCGTCAAATGGCATAAAGCACACCAGAAG